TCCCTATTTATTTCAAAACCCCCTTCCCCTCCCCCTTTTCTGATGAAGGGTCTAGGCCCGAAACGTCAGCCTCTCTGCTCCTATGATGCTGCTTGGCCTGCTGTGTTCATCCAGCCCTGCACCTTGTTGTCTTATCTGCAGCTTTGTTTATGTTAGTTATGATCTTTTCCTCAACAGTAGAAAGAAACTATTAATCTTTCAGCTCAACTTTACCCACTATGTGCATTTGTTTTGGTGTATGTATAGAAAACGCATGTTAATAGCTTGGTGACTGGTATTCAGCTCACTAGGAATGATGGCAAGACTATTGGCATTTGCTGAAGTCAGTCCTCTAAAGCTGACGGAAACTTCTGGAGTTTACACATACACAGTTATACATGAGAATTCTGAAATCACTGTGATGGATTCTACGCTTTTCCATTGGGTGTGCTATCAAAATCCTGCAAACTGCAAATCAAACATAATTCTTTGAACTGATAAGAACTAACCTTTTTTTACATAATGCTTGTTTGAATATCCTGGGTTTTGAACAGCTTAATAAATTCATGAATACTGCTGAGAACTGTCTCTGGCCTAGGGAATTTACATTTCATATCTTCGTAGTGATACAAAATATCCACTTCTTACTTTTTTAAAAGTTTATTTATGATATTTCAGCCTGAATGTTCATTCCATAACATGTCCCAATCATTTATTTCACACTGTCAAATTTTAATTAAAGAAGAAAAATTCAGGGCATTTTATTTCCCATCTTTTTATCTGTGAGAGAATGTTAATATGACAGGCTGTCATCACTGTTGCTAGATGCCTGGAGCTCTTTTCAATTTAATACTAGACTCAACCTACTGTGGTGAAAGGCAAAATCCATTCAACAGATATCAATCTCTGAGCAGACTTCTTTGATGTTAATGGCAAACACCTCACTTCACTGCTATGTACGATATTAATATGCATATTTCTAATGTGCTATTGGCTAATGACTGGTCTATGCTTTTGTGAATTCTTTGCTAAAGCTCCGTGCACCTGATGAGCAGGGAAGAGGACAGAATGACGATGAATTAATCTTCACCAAATAGCTGTATAAACCAAATTACATATCATTAAAAACTACAAATATTTTACTATTGGTAGCTGTGCAAATGCAAATATGATGTACCTCTGTCAATTCCACTGTCACCTTTTGAGTCCTATTGTAATGTCTCGCCCAGAAGCTTGGACACAAAACAAGATTGATACTCTAGAGCAGCCCTTCAGACTTTTTGGATAAGATGTTAAACCTCATTGTTTCTCAGATGCTGTTGTGTGTACTTAAGCCTGAGCCTGATCACACCTTACTGAAGGATAATGGGAATACTGTGGAAAGGTGGGGCTGAGATGAAAGATCGTCAGGATGTTAACGAATGATGGAGCAACCTCACAAGGCTGAACAGCCTACTTTGACTCTTTTTTATTTCTTTTGTGTTGATGTTCGATGAGATCCCAGGGACTATTTTGAAGAAGAACAAGGGAGTTCTTCAAGGTCCGTACTCGATCAACATCACTAAAACAGATTACCCACTTATTATCACATATGAATTAGGAGTAGAATTAGGCCTCAAGACCCCTTCAAGCCTGCTGCCCCATTTTAAAAGGTTATGGCTGATATGATTTTGGCCTCAAATGCATTTTTCCTATCCACTTCCAATACGCTTTGACTCCCATGCACAGATTTTTTTTAATTCATTGGATGTGGGCATCGCTGGCTGGACCAATATTTATTGCCCAGAGGGTAGTTAAGAGTCAACTATATTGCCGTGGGTCTGGAGTCACATGTAGGCCAGACCAAGTGAGGATGGCAGATTTCCTTCCAGATGGGTTTTTTTTTTCCCCCCCCGACAATCGGCAATGGTTTCATGGTCATAATTAGACTCTTAATTCCAGATTATTTTTGAATTCAAATTCCTGGGTCTCTTGGATTAATAGTCTAGCGATATTACCACTAGACCATCGCCTACCCCTTACTACTCCATTTCCTGCATTACAATAATGACTACACTTTGCACCACCTTCAGGTGGCCTGATGTTGTGAAATGTGTGGCAATATGCAAATTTTCTCTTCCCTCTCTTCTTGTTTTCTCTGATTTCTCTTTCTCACTCATTTGTATCTTTTTCTCTCTTTTCCTGTCTCCCTAACATACTACATAGTTAAAATTCACACTTAACAATGACATGTAAACCAGTTAGGTGTGAAGGTACTCTTCAGGTTTGGAAACATTAATTTTGAACAGCCTTTAAAGGTAGAGAATGAGCAATAATAGGGCAGAGTTCCAGAGAGGAGATGCATGGACAATTTAAGATCAAATGAGCAAGGTAGGATAAAAAGCTGGAAGTCATTTCTGGGTTCAGGTGTTACCAAATATGGAGTTTCTAAAGAGATATTTTAAAAAAAAAGTTAAAGAGCACGACTATAATGAGTGGTCAGAAACATAGTGGTGAACTCGATCTGAGCAGTAAAGCTTAGTTCCAGCTGGAATTTGTATAGAATGGGATGCCGGTGAAGACGCGGCTGAATTAAATCGGGAGACAAAGATAATGTTCTGCAGCTGGAGTGAATGATAAAACAAAAGCCAGGAATACTTCAGGGGGGAATGTAGTAATGGAGAGAATGCAATTCAAAATTCAAGCCAATTGAGAAACTGAGGAATGTACTGGCTAAGCAAGTAACCGGGGATGACTCAAGAAACTTTTGATATGAGTTGATTTGGAAGAATTCTGTCTTGACAATGTTCAGTTTGAGAAAGTTATGGTTCATCTAAGCTTGATAATGGAGAAGCTACCTGACCATACCCATGATGCTAGCATTAGAGAAGCAGAGTTCAGTGTTATCAATTCCCAATAGAAAACATGAATGTAGTTGTGGAGGCCAAAGGTGGCAACTTCAATTACTTTTGAGATAATTGAAAGGACAGTATATTAAAGCCATTCCTAAGTACGGACTGGTTACATTGGAACAGAAAGAAATGCGACCGTTTTTATTTGGTTCCAAGAAGGTGGATTATTGAAGAAAGGAACTGGCAAAGTCAAATAACTGACTATCTGAAATGATAGGGAAATAACTTGCCATGCTTGCAATTGCAAAGAATGATTGTGGTAAACAATGTCCTGTTTCTGGGATCATTGAGAGTTTTTTAAATGTCTATTCCTGGCATATATTTCAATCTATTATATATATTTCAGGGCAAATAGAGTTGCATTCAGAGATCCCATTCATCTCAACCGAGAAAGTGGATGTTACAGTTGTACAGTTAGTTGTCGGGGACAACAACAGATCAACCCTCATCAAGACTCACGGTAAGGAGTGTGAAAGCAGTTTAATAAGTATGACTACTACATCCAAACGAATCTAGTTATCAATATTGAGTCAAAAATTAACTTTTTTCTTTATTGCAAATTGTAGCTACTCACAACATATATTGTGCTGTAGACCAGATCCTTTTCAATGTGACTATTGAGTTTACACATTGACACAGATCAAAATTGTAACTTTGTGCTTATTGAGCTATTGTGTGACAGTTTTCTGAAAAGCAAGTACGACATTATGCGTATTACAGGTTTGACATATGGACCTGAAATGGATTACCTTACTTGTTGAAGCACCCAGCAATAGTATTTCTCTTTCGGTGACAGGATGGTTTTTGTTTTGTTATTGAGGAACCAAGGTGAAGGCTCAAGAGCCATCAGATACGCTGCCACCCCAGTTGTAAAGATTGAAAGAGACTTGATAAATTGTGAAATAGGACCTAGTGATTCCAAGTTTAGTTTTTACACCTCGAACCTATACGTTGATGGAAAATGGGATTTGGAAAGATATTGCTACGTATCCTTTCCACAATCCACTGATACAATGTGACCGTTAGATTGAGGGCATTGCCAAACGCATTTAACATTTTTTTTTGTTTATTCATTCATGGGACGAGGGCATTACTGGCTAGGCTAACATTTATTGCCCTTCCTAGAGGATAGTTAAGAGTCAACCATATTGCTGTGCGTCTGGAGTCACACCAGGTGAAGATGGCAATTTCCTTCCCTGAAAGACATTAGTGAACCACATGGGATTTTCCAGCAATTGACAAGGGATTCATGGTCATCATTAGACTCTTAATTCTGGACTTTTTTTTAAATTGGATTCAAATGCCACCATCTGCTTTGGTCTCCAGAACATTTCCTGGATGTCTGGGTTAACAGTCCAGCTATAATACCTCCCTGCATTTAAAACCTTTCAAGTTGGGTGCAGGATTTTATATGTTCTAGTGAGATTTGTGGCATGGGAAACGAATCAGAGTATAAAATGAAAATTAAAAATGAAATGAATTTATTTGTGTTACCCGAATGGATTATAAAAATAAGGTTTTTAATAGGAGTGTGTGTATGAACATCAGGACTCAACAGAATGCATTTTAATTGTCTGACATGCTTTACCAGAAGTAAATCTATGTTGTTACTATCAACTTGATGCTCAAATATGAAGGCCAGTTGTCATAGTTTGGAAGTGTTATCAGCATAATTGAGAGTCTTTGGTAACTGATAGAGTCTGACTAATGTGGCCAATGTGATAGAACTTTGTGTTACAAAATAGGAACACCTTGCTGAATCATACCTGTTTTGTGCATTCATTTATTTTTCATTTTATTTGTAAATCACTGTGTTTTTGATTATTTTATTTGTGTATTATGTTAAATTTGGAGCAAAAAAAATTCTCAAATGGAAATATCCAAAAGTGTGAAACATGGTAGCTCCAATTCATTAATTAGTTTGTGCTAACTTTGTGGATGATACCCACCTGCATGCACAAGATCACAGAATTACCCCTTACCGATAATTGTCTCAATATCTCAGGGAATGAGAATCGAAGCAGAGGGCAGAGTTGAAAACAAAATTAAACAATATCTCTGATTGTGCTTAGATTGTTGAACCAGTATGCATTATGCTGATCCCTTCTGTGTAAAAATGCCATTATATGCATTCAACAACATTAAATTATTGTTGCCAATTAGCCAGGCTTCACTGTAATGAATGGAACAAAAACAAAGTTGCTGGAAAAGCTCAGCAAGTCTGGCAGCATCTGTGAAGGAGAAAACAGAGTTAACATTTCGGGTCCGGTGACTGAGGAAGGATCACCAGACCTGAAACGTTAACTCTGTTTTCTCCTTCACAGAGGCTGCCAGACCTGCTGAGCTTCTCCAGCAACTTTGTTTTTGTTCCTGATTTACAGCATCCACAGTTCTTTTGGTTTTCACTGTAATGAATAATTGGCGATTTCATTTTGTTTTTGTTTCAGAAAGAGAAACGGGAGTCAAAAGTTCTTAAGCAATTTTAAAGCTTTTTAATTTGTTCTGTCCATCTAATTAGACAATGGAGAATAAGATGAAAGGGACACATGTGGAACCCCATTCCTTCCATTTGCTGTTGTCCATACAGAATATTTAACACTGACTGCAGTGTTACCTTGCATTGCATTCAACAGATTGTGTGGTTTTCCATGGTCTTTTTTTGTTTGCAAGCCTCCAATGGACCTCTTGAGTGAGATTTTGAATTGCACAAAACTCATTCATTTGTACAGGGTGAGGCCTACAGTTGTCCCTGGTTTGATTCCGTAACTAAAGTATTTTTACGTGAAGGGATTATTAACCTGATTCTCAATCCTTGACCAGGGGAATCGGTAATCTCCCTTTGCTGTGCTATTAATATCTTTAGAACTTGCTTTCTTGGGTCATGCTGACAGGAGTTAAACTCCAACCAGCATAGCTCTGACAGCGTTGGATGCACACAAGTCTTTTCACCATATCAAGGTACAATTTCTACAGAAGGTCTTTATGTATATGAAATAATAAAAAATTCTTTCATGGGACTTGGGCCGCTTGTAGGATTAACATTTTGTCGCCTGTTCTGAATTCCCATGAAACAAAGTGACAATTTACAGTCAACCACATGCCGGTGGGTCTGGAGTCACATGTAAGCCAATCTGGGTAAAGATGGCAGATTTCCTTCCATATAGGGCATTGGTAAACCAGATGGCATTTTACAACAGTGATAGTTGAATTGGTCACCATCATAGATACCAGCTTTATGTTCCAGATTTATTAATTGCATTTAAATTCCACCAGCTGCTAGGGTGTGAGTTGAATCTATGACCCCAACGCATTAGCTTGGTAATCTAGATTACTAGCATAGTGACATTATCACTGTGCTATTAATCATTTTAACATGTTTCAGAGAATAAGGATTAAAATGAATAGATAGTGAATCATAGAGCCATTGAGTCATACAGCACGGAAACAGACCTTACAGTCCAAACTATCCATGCCAACCATAATCCCAGACTAAACTAGTTCCACCTGCCTGCACTTGGCTGATTATCTCTCCAAACATTATTCATTTCCAAATGGCTTTTAAATGTTGTAACTGTGCCCACATTCATCACTTCCTCTGGAAGTTTATTCCACACACGAACCACTCTGGGGGAAAAAAAGTTGCCTGTCATGTCCTTTTTAAATCTTTCTCCTCTCACCTTTAAAAATGAGCAAGAATGAAAAAAATTAGAGGTAACCAAAACGATGTGTTTGGAGAAGGCTGATCAGACAAACTGAAGGATTCAAAAGTGGCATCAACGTGCCTAAAGGATTTTATTTTAACCATTGATATGTCAAGGGGGGGCATGTTGAAAAGGTGAGAGTAAGAGGACAATGCAGAAAAAATTCTAGAGAAGATTGAACAGATAGATGTGTGGAAGACTGTGGAATGACTGAAGACTAACAAATGAACTTCAAGTTTAATGCACTGAAGTATGCAGAATCAGTATAGGTCTGTGCAGATGTGACTTGAAGACAAGTGAGACAGCTTACAGGCAGGAAGCTTTTAGATAGTTTTGAAGTTTATTGATGATGGGAGGCTGGCAAGGAAACCATTGAAGATTTGTGATAGAATTTAATGCTTTATGCAGGGGAGAGTTTGGTGCCCTGATTGTCTGCATTGGGAAGAAGCATAGATGACAATTGAACAATTAAAGTCCTTAAATGGGCAAGTGATGCCTCCTAAATTTATTTAACTCTATTAAATTCCACCTATTAAGTCTGAAGAAACAGCAGAAGATAATGTTACAGAGATCACATTAACAGTGCTATCAAAAATGTATAAAGTCTTGCATTTCTATTTTACAGGTGCACTGATGTTAATAGCCTGGATGACAGTTGGAAGCATTGGCATGATAATTGCTAAATTCTTTAAGAGCCTTGGAGGCTCAACGAAGATTTTGGGCAAGAAAATTTGGTTTCAAGTTAGTTACAGAATTATTAACTATCATTCTTTTGCCTGATCAAGTTACAGTCTATTCTTATTCCTTCAAATGTTAATCTTTTGATAGAACTTGAGCAAGTAATGAAGTAACTTTGTAGCTAAAAAATCCTGAAAGAATTGCGGGTATTGGAAATCTGAATCAAAAACAGAAATTGCTGGAAAATCTCAGCAGGTGTAGCACCATCTGTAAAGAGAAATCAGAGTTAACGTTTTGGGTCCAATAACCTTTCCTCAGAATCTTCTGTAGAATGGTCACTGGACCTGAAATGTTAACTTTGACTTATCTCCACAGATGCTGCCAGACCTGCTGAGATTTTCTAGCTTTGTATCTATGTTAATTTTTACTGTTATATTTTGTAAGATACTCCATTGCTAATATAATCTTGTCATTTGAGTTTAACAGTTTTGATATAATAGTTTTAATTGTTTATCTTTCTGGCATTGGTTTGTACCCTAATCGAGGGCTTTTGGGAATAATTATTTTATTGAGAGGAAATGTTTGTTAATAATTGCTCTTACATGTTGTAATGTATATGTATTTTAATGAAAATATATTAAATGGTGCCTTTTCTTTTCTAGCTTCATTGGACACTGATGATGCTAACTGTTATTACAACAATCATTGGCTTTGTGTTAGCTTTTGTGCAGGTGAAAGGGTGGAGTTACGTAAGTTCTTCTCTTTACTTCATGTTTTAAAGCATGAGTGGCTTTCAAGACATTTTTAAAAATGTTAACATAGATGCCCTTTTTCATAGGGCTTCACTACCAAAAATAATTATATAATGCAACAGCTATTCTCCCATTCAGTTATACTTCTAGAATATTATTTCATCAGTCAAAATTTCTTGCGACATGCATAGTTCCTGTATCACCACTGTTTATTATTCATTGCTACACTGCATTTGATAATGTTTGACATTACTCTTGCTTATGCTGTTTTTAATAAGAAAAGAGCAGTGTCTCAAAATTTACATTATTCTTGTGTCATTGCACTTCAGCCTTCCCAACGCTTGTGGCACTATTCTTCTCCAAAAAGTGACCCCTATGCAATTTTAATCCAGTTTTTGGGAAACGGTTTACTGAAAGCGATCTTGAGCATTGCGGATCTTAGCTGCTGGGTAGAGATTTGACAAGAGACTTGTATCTCTTGCTCAATTAAAAGCCTGTCAGGTCATTGGCCAGGCCCCTGACAGGCCTTCCTGAAACCAAGACTTCAGCAGCAGACGTCTCGCCTATTAAGAGCTGCTGGTCAATCTGGGACTCAGTGCCTAACTGAGGAGGCTGTACCTGCTGCGGGGATATCAAGCCCTGGAGTCCCAGGATCGCAAAGTGACCTGGATATGTACTGTTCTGGGGATGGTTTTGTGGGTGGGAGATAGCAGAGAGACAGTACGGGGTGTGTTGCCAGTAGCAGAGTCTGAGGGTAGGGTTCAGCAGAACCGTCTTCCACTATCCACCCCTCCCCCTTTCCTGATTCCCTATCCTACGATCAAGGCACTGTGTGTGTCTTTGATTGCATTCCCTCAGGAGGTGACAAGCTGGGATCCTACAGTTTTAGCTATTGTTCATGCTGCAAGGCACTAGACCTACTTGTCTGCAGTTGGGTTGATATCAGAGATGGCAGGATGAGGTCCTTAAATGGTCATTAATTGGTGATGGTCGATCTCACCATCCCAATGTGCTTTAGACCTCATACAACTTGATGATCCAAACACGTTCGTGTGTTTGTACAAATGGGGATAAATTCCACTCACCATCTTTATAACAGTTCACTTCAAATAGTGTCAGTGGTGCTTGCTGAATTGTCTATACCAGCTCCTAAAACCCCTATGTTCCTGTGTTGACTCATACCTCAATTAATAACGAAACAACATATAATTCGAGAACATTTTAGATAAAAATTTATCACATCTCCTGTAACAGTGGAATATACCTTAATTCTTCACCTCAGTAAATATGTACCAGCTTTTGCTAGTTTTTTTTGTGTCCTTTATAGTTCTATATTTCTCTTGCAGAGTGCAGGAGCTCATCCTGTGTTGGGGTGTACAGTAATGGGTCTCGCACTGATTCAACCCTCTGTAGCCTTTTTCAGACCTTCACCAGATCACGAGAGGTCAGTTTGAAAACACTCAGCATCTCGCATTGTAGTCTGATGTACTTTGAATTATGGGTTTGTTCTTGATATCAATTAACTATATAAATAAAGGCAGATAATTGGATTCTGGTAACATGAGTTACCAGAACAGTTACAAAGACTGACTGAGCTGTAACAATAAAGGAATACATGTCCTCAGTCTTAGTAAATGCAGTTCTACCTTATGAAAGAGTCAGCTGTTTAGTAATGTTAGTAACAGTGTTATTGAGTCAGAGTCATATGGCACGGGAACAGACCCTTTGGTCCAACCAGTCCATACCGATCATAATCCCAAACTAAACTAGTCCCACCTGCCTGCATTTGGCCCATATCTCTCCAAATATTTTTTTATTCATGTACTTATCCAAATTTCTTTTAAACATTGTAACTGTACCCGCACCCTCCACAGCCTCTGGAAGTTCATTTTGCACGAACCACTCTCATGGGGAGGGGGAGTTGGTGTGGAGAGAGAAAGGCTGTTCCTCATGTGTTTTTTTTTTGGCATCTTTCTCCTCTCTCTCACCTTAAAAATTTCCTCCTAGTTGTGAAATCATCCATTCCAGGGAAAAGATACCTGCCTTTCACCTTATCTATACCCCTCATGATTTTATAAACCTCTATAAGGTCACCCTTCAACCTCCTACGCTTCAGTAAAAAAAGTCCAAGCCTGTCAGGCCTGTTTTTATAAATCAAATCCTCCAGTCCTGGCAACATTCTGATGAATCTTTTCTGAACCCGCTCCAGCTTAATAATAATCTTCCTATAACAGTGACCAGAATTGGACCCAGTACTCTAGAAGAGCCCTCACCAGTGTCCTGTACAACTTCAACATGACAACCCAACTCCTGTACTCAAAGGTCTGAGAAATGAAGAGAAGCGTGCCAAATGCCGCCTTAACCACCCTGTCTACATGTGATGCAAACATCAAAGATTTATGTATCTGAACCCCTAGATCTCTGTCTCTCTCTCCTACAACACTACCCAAGGCCTTACTTTTAATTATATAAGTCCTGTCCTTGTTTGTTTTACCAAAATGCAATACCTCACATTTATCCAAATTAAACTCCATCTGCCACTCCTTAGCCCATTGACCCTATTGATCAAGATCTCTTTGAAATCTTAGATAACCTTCTTCACTATCCACTACACCATCAATTTTAGTGACATCCTGTTGCAGGAAATTAAGCTGTTGACAATTCTTTTTTCATCTTGCTATATTTCTAGGGAAATTTTTGTCATATTAAAGAAGTTGTATTGAACTTTCTGAGCAGTATTTCAGTTGAAGCTTACCTGGTTTAATTGCAGTTACTTTTGAGGCCTTTTGATTGTTGTTTGATGTACACCATAAGCTGACTGAAATTAGTTGAGCAGACTACTAATGTATGTGGGCCTTTGCTTTTATTTTGAAGTTGTTGCTAGGGACCTGGGACAAATGACTTATCCGTAGGTTATTTATTCCTGTGAGGAAATGCACCAATTCTCTTGCTGCTTTGTCTTTCTGAATTGAACTGTTTTGCAACATTCCATTCCATTTTAAGAATATTAGAAAAATCGAGGGCTGTAAAAGCCAGTTTAGTCCCCCATATTCTATCTGTAGTGTTCTAACAATTCCACCCTACCGACCAATTCTAAATAACTTTCTCTCTTGCCACTTTGAAGAAATAATTAATTTTTCCTTTTCAGGCAACAATCAAGAGAAGCTCCTTTTGGTTTTTGATTTTAAAATTAGCTTTTAACTACTTTATATCTTATTACGATTCTACTTCATTTAAACTGTTCAGGATTTCCCTATGTTATGGATCAGGCCAAACCCCCTCCAAATGTATTAAGAAGATAGTCTAGACACTAACTTTTTCTTATTTTAAGGTTAAGTGTAAGGTGTTTTTTTTTCCAGATGCAATTCAATTGATTAAACTACTCTAATTTAAGCAAAACACACGTTTTTTTTAATATTATGGTTAAAATGCAGGCAGAATAAAAATTAAAGGATAAAATTGGTTTAACTATAACTCTTGAAATGCTTAACAAAATAATATGTATGTATTAACTACTACTAATTAACTGTTCCAATGTAGTGACATTCTATAAACATACCCTTGGCAAAGGCAAATTCAGTAAAATAGATCATCTCACATGCAATTCTGGCAGCAGAAAGAGAGCCCCAGCTTTTAGCTGTAAAAAAGAGAGGAATAAAAGCTTATACATCCAGCTTCAAGACTCCAGCAACTGCTGCTGGAAGCTAAAACTAAAAATCCTGGTTCTATGCAAGCTTGACCTAACCCATTCAGACTGCTTCTACTGTTCCAACTTTAAAAAACCAAAATCCCCAAGGCCACACAAGCTGTTAACTTTGTTGGCTTTAAGCAGATCACTTGGTACCTCTGTCTCAACCTTTCTTCACTTAAAAAAACAGGACCGATACAGCTCTTTAATCCCATAGTATCGTCACCCCTTATCTGAATCTCTTGATATTTGTATAAGTCAGAGACTTCTTTTAATTGTCTTCTCTCCATATTGCTCAGCACCCTCACTCCGAATTATTCTATGACTGTTCTCTGCTGTTTCTCCAATGTAGTGCATTTACAGCAGAACCTCAGACACCCACCTAAATGCTATGTGATCACTTGTTTGCATTTTATTGACAATGAAAAAAATGTTTCTCCACATTTGTCTAGTAATATTCCTAGTCCTTTTCTGATTCATCTTGTTCAAAATCTATTAATTGGTTTACATCATTTTATAAAATGTGAGTGTGTTATTCAGCAATTTATATGCTACCTAGTTTTTTACATGTGGCATGGATTCAAATCCAGTCACAAATCTTTACAGTTTGTCTTTTCATGTCAAGCTTGATAATCTTGCATTAAAGTTAACTTTAAAACTTATAAAATATTGTAACAGGCTCCACTTCTGTACCATGTAACCATCAGGACATACCATCTTAACATATTACTCGAGCTATTCATTACTTGTCTATGTTTTTACAAAATCTTACAGGGTAAAAACAGAGCAATTGGTCCAGCATTTAAGCCTTCTCCCATGCCTCCTCACCTAGTCCTATCAAGACATTTTTCTGTTCCTTTCTTGCTAATATATTTTTCTAAATTCCACATGTATGGATCTACTGAATGCTACATGTAATCATTCTCCGAGTAAAAAAATTCCTGAATTTGTGATTGCGTTTACTAATGTAAGCATCTTCTGTACGCCTGCTCTATTAAACCACGTTGTAAATTTGGAAGTCCTTATTAGGTCACATCCTCAGTATTTTCTTCGACAGAGAAGATTAGTGTCACTGACTTTGAGGCAGATGCTCCGAGTTCGAGGCCCACTCCAGGCTTTGATGGTCAATGATCTTGTGTTTATGATGTGGCCAAACAGGTCGAATATCAACCTGGTCAGCCATGTGATGGAAAGAATGTTGAGGTCTCTATTGTCATTATCCATTGCTTCAGACTAAAACACGTGCACGGTGCCATAGTAATTCAGTCTCCCTGAGTGAACTGAACACACATCCACCATCACACTCTCATTTGTTGCATGAACAGCCCTTCCCACTGATCATAATGTTGTATAACGCTGTGTGGCCTATTGCTCACCATAAGGTAGATTTCTGCCAGCATCCTCTTTAACAATGGTGAACATACAGGACCCGCTTCCTCTGATCTGGTGGAAAAAAACCAGAGGGTAGCTAATTGAGAAGAGTCTCTTGTCTTAAATCAGGGGTATTTTAGCAACTGGATACAAGTTACACTGATATGATAGCATTGTAGTTATGTAGTGCAGTGGTTATCACATTTGCTTGACACATGGAAGGTTCCCAAGTCAAAACTAAGTGATATTGCTGAACTCTGGCATCCGTATGAAGGAAGGATATGTTGCTCCACTCTGTAGGAGCTCTTGAAGTGTAGTGGTAGTGTCCATACCTCGGGCTGAGAAGGTAAGTCCAGATTTTCGTGAGTGGTAAACTAATACTGTAATTTACTGTTCCTTTGGCCCTCTAGCTCAGTGAAATTGTACTGTGAGTAATTGAGCCACATGGACTAAGGATCATTTGTTCAGTCCCATTCTGTACTCAAGATACTGCAGTTAATTAGGATGGTGGGGGGTAGGTAAGAAATTGTTTTGATTCTTGAATGTAAGTTGGGGAGCATTCTGGAACTTTGCTATTTGATTAAACTTGTTAAGTTGAATATCAGTTAGGACCTGAATAAGGTTGATTTCCACCCAAGCTGAGCGTTTGGATTCCTATTTGACAAATGAAGGGGACGGGGGTGAGTGGAAGATGTCTCCAAACTGGGGATTCCCTAGGCCTTTAACTGCATACCACTTAGTGACCATGATGCTGGCATGCAAATTATTGGACCAGAACAAGTATTGCCAACTGCAAACTAAGCTGAGATTCTGGTTTGTTGCCTGTTGACCTGCCATCAATTCCCTTACAGTGAGCAATGAGTGACCAGTGAAAATGGCCTTGCAGGTTTGCAAGGTAACTTTGTGATCAGTGAAACTTAACTTCAGTTGCTTTTGCAACTGCTGCTAAGCTTAAAAAACAAATGATTCTCACGTAGGAATTAAGCCTTAATCAGTTGTGTTCTTGAGATTCAAAGGTCAGAATAAAAGATTTTTTTTCTTTGCGTTCCCTTTGCTTTGATCTTTGAAAACAAAACTTGAATTGAAAAATACTGTTTTAACACAGCTATAAAAATGGATTTTAATGGTCATCAACAGTTCAACTTGTATCCAAGAGTGTTACTGGTCAGTGACAAAGGAACAGTGAATGATCCTGTTTTGCCTTGCTGGTGACCATTTGGAGAATAATATTGACTGTTTCTCTTCCATTGATCAGAATCAGTACTCCCACGATTTTAAGATTTATGATATGGAAGGAGGCTATTCAAATGAAACTTGAAAGGGTTCAGAGAAGATTTACAAGGATGTTGCTAGGGTTGGAGCTATAGGGAGAGGCTGAATAGACTGGGGCTGTTTTCCCTGGAGCGTCAGAGGCTGCGAAATGACCTTGTAGTGATTTATAAAATCATGAGGGGCGTGGATAGGGTGAATAGTCAATGCTTTTACCGAGGGTAGGGGAGTCCAAAACTAGAGGGCACAGGTTTAACGTGAGAGGGGAAAGATTTAATGGGGACTTAAGGGGCAACTTTTTCATGCAGTGGTAGTGTGTGTATGGAATGAGCTGCCAGTGGAGGCTGGCACAATTACAACATTTGAAAGGCACCTGGATGGGTATACGAATAAGAAGAGTTTAGAGGGATATAGACCAGATGCTGGAAAAATGGGCTGGATTAGTTTAGCATATCTGGTTGGCATGGATGAGTTGGACCAAAAGGTCTGTTTCTGTGCTGTACATCTCTATAACTCTATATGACTCTAAAATCTTGTCTGCACCAGCTCACCAAATAAGCATAATAGATTAGTGTCATCCACCTGCCTATTCCATTCTACGTTTTTCTATCCAAGTAATTACCCCATTCGAGTGAGTACTTGGATAGCTATATGCTTGAGGAAAGTGATGGAGAAATAGGATAGATGCTCTGCCTTTGGACAATTCCACTATCTGTATTAGAGAGCTAAAAACAGTTCTGTGTAAGAATCTGAAGAAGTTATTCATGAGAAGGAGAGACGTGGAAGTCAATTAAATAATGACTACAGAGTACTAACTTGTTTGTTATGATTTTCTTTTCATTTATATTTTAAATAACCAATTTTATGAAGATATTTATCAGATAATGAAAGTATGATTAATCACATTTTTTGGTATTTTTATAGACGATTCATCTTTAACATTTTTCACAATTTCATGGCTCTAGCCATTAAGATTCTTGCAGGTATGTGATTGTATGGAAAGACATAAAATAATTTAAATATGTTTTTCCATATACTACATTATTCTGGTTTTCTTTACAAGATTTGTTGATATTCATTCATAATACATAAATATTGAAGTTACGGAATCTAAGTGTATGAATATTTATTTAAAATAAATGAGAAATGCCTTTATTACAAGAGGTTCTGCATGGGGATTAAAAAATATGATTTGCATACTTTTTATTCTGTTCTTCAGAATAAAACTTCATTGATTTTGGGATTTCAGTGTAAGAAAGAAACAAAACTCTTTCAAATAGCTGCAATAAAATCAAAGGAAGATTCAGGAGAAGACTTGGATAGGTTTCTGTTTATTGTTTATAGTAGCCAATGGAGAGAACTGAAACCACATTCTGACACTTGTTTTTAGAATGTAATTTTTTCTTTCTTTCACAATTTGCAAATGAAAATGCAACATGTTTTAGACTGAGAAAAATCCACTTCCTTTCAACATCTTCAGATTTATCACTCTCTCTTTTCTAGTGGCAACTCTATTTCTTGGGTTCAAATTGATTGAAGGAACAGAAAATGCATGGATGCAGAAGGTCTTGGGAGGATTTGTTGGATGGGAATGTCTGATCTATGTCCTGTTGTTCATATGCTGCTATTTTAAAGAAGAAGGTAAGGAACAGTTCAGCATTGATTTTTCTTATTGACAATTAAGAAATCTCATTGTCAAGTATACAGATTACATGGTGGAAACTGACCGCGCCCTTTTCTTATCTTTTTTAAATCAGATTGGTACGTCGACTGCCAGGAAAAGGTATTGTGCTTTTAAATCATTAATCATTTTCTACTTAAATGTTTTATGTTGTTAAGATGAAAAAACACTCAGAAATCTGGTAGTGCAGGAAAGCAATCAGCAGAAGAGTGTACTACTATGATCAGTTTAAAAGCCATAGAATCATATGGTGTAGCAACAAGCTTGTCTGTCCATCATACCGATGCCGAACAACAAACGCCAAACTACATTAATCCCATTTATCTGTATTTGATCCATAGCCTACCATGCCCTGACATGTTAAGTGCTCATCCAAATGCTGCTTAAATGTTGTGAGAGTACCTGCCTTCACCACCCTCTCAGGCAGCACACTCCATATTTCTACCACCCTTTGGGTGAAAACATATTTTACCTCAGATCTTCTCTAAACCACTTACTCCTCACCTTTTAAACCTATGTCCTCTGGTCTCCGACATGTCTGCTGTGGGAAAAGATTCTCATGGTCTAACCGTCTATGCACTTCATAATTTTGTATACCTTAATCAGATCGCGCCCCCACCCAGTCTCCCCTGCCCCAGGGAATACAAACCCAGCCGAATCTCTCCTCTTAACTGAAACTTTCCATGCCAAGTACCCTTTTGTGAATCTCCTCTGCACCCTCTGTAGTGCATTTTTAGAAAACAGTAAGGCTACCTTGTAAAAATTACTTGATGGATTGTGGGCTCAATGGAAAGGCCAGCAATTGTTCTCCATCCCTTGAGAAAGTAACAGTGAACTTCCTTCTTTGTTGCAGTCCATCTGCCGTAGGTATATCTACAGTGCTGTTGGCAGGGAGTTATAAGATTTTAACCCAGCAACTGTGAAGGACATAGCATCAAACCAAGATGTTTTGTGGCTTGGAGAGGAATTTGCAAGTGGTGGTGCTGTTGCTGCAGCAGCTCTTGTACTTGTAAATGGTAAAGCTTGTGGGTTTGGAAGGTGTTATTGAAGGAGCAGTGGTGAGTTGTTGTGGTACACCCTGCATATAGTATAAACCACTGCCACTGTGTCTGTGATGGGAAGAGTAAATGTTTAAGTTGGTGGACACAGTGCCAGTCAACCATGAAGACTCATCTAGACTTCAAACGTTTTAACTTGCTGTCTCTCTATGGAGGATGTCACACCTGCTGTGATCTCCAGCACTTGTTTTCAAGCAGGCTGTTTTGTCTTGAATGGTGTCCAGTTTCTTGTATGATATTGGCACGGGACTGAGCCAGACAAGTATTCGATCACACTCCTGAGTGTGCCTTGTTAGATGGCAGATCGGCTTCAGAAAATGAGTTATTTGTTTCAGAATTCCCTACATTTCACCTGCTGTTCTGTTTCAAATTTCCAACCACCATAATGTTTCACTTTGACATTGATGTAATGCTTTTCACCTCACCAAAATATCTGAAAAATATTTCGCAGTCCAATCACTATCAATTCCAGACAAATGTGACAGGCTTTTTCATGACTCAGGTAAATACACTGAGAGCCAACGTAGTCAGATTTGCTGACAAAAGAACGCTGGGCTGGTCTGAAAGCTGCTAGGTGAGTGAGTAAGATGACAGAGAGGGTATTATGTGGGAAGATATTAAATCATTCACTCTGGCAGCAACAATAGAAAAGCAGAGCACCTTTTTAAAGTTGAGAAACTGTTAAATGCTTATATCAGAGTGATGTAGCTGCACTTAGATAAGGAACACAAAAATTAAACGTGTAGGTAAGCAAACCATTCAGAAGGCAATGGCACATTATTCTTTCTTGCAAGAACACTGAAATACAAGATCAAGGAAGTCTTATTACAATTGAATAGGGTATTGGTGAGACCGCACCTGGAATATTTTAATCAGTTTTGGAATCCATATATAAGGATATTGCTGGCACTGCAAAGTTTCAATGGATTGGTTTCTGGGATGAGAAGGTTGTCCTACTTTGCAAGGATGAGTAAAGCTGAACTTCTCTGGCATTTAGAAGAATGAGATGTGATCTCATTGAAACATACAAGATTCTGATGGGACTTGAAAGGATAGACGCTGAGGTTGTTTCTGTGGCTGGGGGATCTAGAACATAGGCCTCAGACTCAGGAGATATGTTTGTTTGATCATTTAGGATCAAGATGAGGAGAAATTTCTTTACTAACAGAGTTGTAAATCTTTAGAATGATCTACTCCAGGGTCTGGAAGTAATTCATTCTTGAATATATTCAAGTCCAGGACAGACTCTTTGATCTCTGGGAATCAATGGAAATACGAATATTTGGCATGAGATCAGTCAGGCTCAGGAGGCCATTAGGTCTATTCTTGCTCCTATCTCTTATTTTTTTTCTGCCTCTCATCTCTTACTGAAACATGAGCTGAAATGTATATAATTAAAATAATACAATCAACAAATTTATTTTAATATCGTGGAACAAAGGGCAAATTAGATCCAATAAGTCAAGGTTTTTTACGCCAACATCAATGTCGGGAAGTTTATTGGAACCATTAGCAGATGAAGGTGGACTTTTTAACCTTCTCAATTCTTTTCTCTTCTCAAGAAGTTAACTTTTTTTCTGGAATCTAATCCCATGGGTACTGTCAATCTCAGGTAGCTCCAATTCATTGTTCTTTGTGTACCTTTTGTATTTCCTAAACTAAGAGACATTAGGGAACACAAAGATGTATTAGTTCACAGGTTTCCAAGATGTCACTGAAGGAATTATTACTTGTAAAGTATTGTTACGGTCACTGGAATAATATGTCAAAGTTTTTTCTGATATTATAACCTAGGTAGGCACGTAGGCTGTGAGGAAGAAGCAAAGATATGGCCATGTTAACTGAGTGGGCAGCAAGCTGGCTGGTCAAATCTAATGTGGGAAGGACTGAGCTTATTCATTTTGAAAAAGCACAACATTTTTTTAAAGATGTGAAACATTTAAATGTTGATATTTGTACAGCCTTGAATGGGTTGGCACATTTATGTCCAGTAATTAGAAACCCAATGGCATGTTAACCTGTATCTTGTACAAGAGCAAAGAAGTCTGGTTACTTTGCCCAGGGTTTTGGTGGTTCACACCTGGAATACTGTACACAGCCCTGGACTCCATGACTGGGGAAGACTACAGGTGTATTGGAAGCAGTAGGATGTCCAAATGATTGGTCCCTGAAATGTATTGTTACCTTGTGATGGCAGATTGAGTAAACTTTGATTTCTCTAGCATATTGAAAAGGTGATTTAATTCACACATTCAAGACTCTGAAGGAACTTGACAAGATTGATACTGAGACGTTGTGTTTCTGACTGAGGAATCTAGAATGTGGGGTCAAAGAGGCAGGAGAAATATATGATAATTTAGAATCGAAATGAGGAGAAATTTCTCCACACAGACAGTTGTGAATCTGGAATTATCAGTACCAAAGGGTTGTGGTCGCACTTTCCTTGAGTACATTCAAGGCTGGTATAGATTGTATTTTGATCTCTGGGAGATCAAAAAGGGCAGGAGCGTGAAACTGGAGTTTGGAAGGAGATCAACTATAATCGTACATGGAGAAGTCTAATGGGACTATAAGGTCTATTGTGTTTCTTACAGTTTTATGATCAGCAATGATTGAAAGCAACACCATAATAGAGGAAATTGCCTGTTATCTGCTGTGAACCATGGCTTAAATGTGTGCAATCAACTCCTATACTTTAATCTGAGAGAACAAAGGACAAATGAATCTAATAGTTCAAAGTTTCTTCTACCAACATTAATGGTGGAAAGATTTTTGGGACTTTCCTTTTCAATTCTTTTCATTTCCATTGATTCCTTGTGTTAAACTGTTGGCTTCTTACTGGAGCATAATCCCATGGGAGCCAATTATCCTCTGGTGTCTTGCTCAAATCATGGTTATTTTTGTATCTTGAGGCAAACACAGGTTAAAAGTGAGAGTATAATGTGGCATATGATTGGAAAAATGTGAAGTTATTTACCCCAGATGTAGAAAAATGACCTGAACATTTGGCTACTGATGTTCAGAGGGAGTTTGAGTATACATGTGCAAGGAACATAAGTTAGCATTCATGTGCAGCAAGCAACTAAAAGGAAATGGATGCTCCACCATTGAGTATAATCAAAGCTAGAATAGATAGAGATAACGGTGCGGAGCTGGAGGAACACAGCAGGCCAGGTAGCATCAGAGGAGCAGGAAAGTTGATGTTTCTGAAGAAAGGTCCTGACCCGCAATGTCACTTTCCTGCTCTAATGCTGCCTGGCCTGCTGTGTTCCTCCAGCTCCACACTGTGTTATCTCTGACTCCAGCATCTACAGTTCATGCTATCTCTTGAATAGATAGAGTTTTGATTTGATTTTAGAGTAATGTATGTTGTCCATTCTTGACCATTGATAAAACTACACTTTGAATACTGTGCTCAGTTTTAGTCTCCATATCTAAGGAACAGTAACCTTGCCTTGGAGATGGAATAACAAAGCTTCATTAGATTGGAACTTTGGATGAGATTTCATTTGGTGAGAGGCTGAGTAAATTGGGCTTGTATTTGTGGAATTTAGACAAATGAGAAGTGAAACCTAGAAGGATATCCTTGAGATGGTATATACTGAAAGGTGGTTTCTCCTGATTAGGAAATCCAAAACATAGAGGCACAATGTCACAATAAGGAATTGATTATTTAGGACTGAGACGAAGGTAAATTTCTTCACTCAGCGATTTTCTGAATCTTTTGCATTCCTTATCCCAGATATTTGTGCATGCTCTAAAGTTGACTACATTCAAGATTCAGATAAGCAAAATTTGGTTTCAAGGAATATGCAAAGGGAGCAGGTTTGAGTTGAAGGAGAAGCTCTGATTTGTATTGAATGGAAGGTCAGGCTCAGGGGAGCCCTTGATCTATTCCTTCTCCTTTTTTATGTTCTTCTGATTAATAGTAATTGAAAACAGCCATCAAGCTGTGGAACATTCTCTTATCTGCATTGAAAAATTCATTGCTTTAAGTGTGGGCATTGCCACACATTTATTTTCATGTAGTTGAACAAAGGGCAA